TCCTGCTGACCCCCGAGGATGCAGTCCTGTCAGATGAGGTTAAACACGCCTCCATCATCGATGGCATCCGTCTGTGCAAGGCCCATAAAGTACCGCTATCGCCACCTGGACATGGCTGACCTAGAAGCCAAGCTGCAGGAGGCCCAGGTGGGAAAAACCCTGGGCTTACCTCAACCTTCTCGTGGGGAAGGCAGGTTTGCAGACACCAACTCCTCACTCACAAACAGCCTGAAAGTTTGAAACAGCCAAGAGTTAAACCCAGATCCCCCAGACCCGAAGCGTCATTCCAGTACACCATGCTGCCTTGAGTTTTAGCAAGCACCTTAAGGGTGGAGTGGGTGTGAGGATAGGGCCTAGCCTCAGCCCAGGCTGCCCTCTGGGACTTTACACAGGAGAGTGAGACCATTCTTACGGCCCAGGGTTCAGTGCAGAGATGGGTAAGCTGAGAAAGGCGTAGGTGAGAGAGGCTGTTCCAGCCCCAAGGTGGTGGTACCCATAGGTCCACCTCTGTGCTAGGCACTGGGCATGCTGAGTCCTCAGAGCTCCAAGCAGCGCAAGGGACTCATGGTTCAGCCCAACTCATGATACCACCCACCACCTGCTCATGTCTTCTCTGCAGAAGCATCGTCTGCGCCTGGTGGCCACCGATGGGGCCTTTTCCATGGATGGTGACATCGCACCCCTGCAGGAAATCTGCCGCCTCGCCTCTCAATATGGTGCCCTGGTCTTTGTGGATGAATGCCATGCAACTGGCTTCCTGGGGCCCACAGGACGGTGGGAGCACATAGCACCGGAGGCTTGGGTGGGGCTTCTGAGGGTGGCTGGGAAACAAGCAGGCCAGCCCCTCGCCAGACCCGTGAGCCGGGGTGCTCTGGAGACCAGTGGCAGCTTTCCTTGCAGGGGCACGGATGAGCTGCTGGGCGTGATGGACCAGGTCACCATCATCAACTCCACCCTGGGGAAGGCATTGGGCGGAGCATCAGGTGCCTGCAGGGTCATGCTCTGGGGGCCCCGTGTCCACATGCAGGACCCTGGAGGGGTCTCAGGGAGGTGGGGAGGACAGGTATGGGGCTACAGGGAAAAGAGTGGTATGGACTGCCTCTCCAGAGGGGCTTGGGTAGACTCCGGCTCCTGGCCCCTGACCAGCCCCCCAACTACCTCTCCCCTTATTCTCAGGGGGCTACACGACAGGGCCTGGGCCCCTGGTGTCCCTGCTACGGCAGCGCTCCCGGCCCTACCTCTTCTCCAACAGCCTGCCACCTGCTATTGTCGGCTGTGCCTCCAAGGCCCTGGACCTGCTCATGGAGAGCAACACCATCGTCCAGTCCATGGCTGCCAAGACCCAGCGGTGCGGTTCCTAGCAAGGATAGGGTGCCTATGTGCCTCCGTGGCTACAGGGTTGCCTTTGCTTGCCCACCTGTCTTCCCTGTCTCTGCCTCTTCCCTCTAGCTCCTGGTTTTCCTCTTGTCGGTTCTATCTTTCTCCTTTTTTGTTCTGCCTGCCCTCTACTTGGCTCCCACCTGCCACTGAGGGTCTATAACTCTGCCTTTGATGGTCTCTTGCAGACTTGGGCACAGATCTTGGGCCTCATCAGGAATGGTATGAAAGCTCCCTGGCCCCATCTACCTGTGACATCCACTTGTGCCCACAGGTTCCGCAGTAAGATGGAGGCTGCTGGCTTCACTATCTCCGGAGCCAGTCACCCCATCTGCCCTGTGATGCTGGGTGATGCCCGGCTGGCCTCTTGCATAGCGGATGACATGCTAAAGAGAGGTGAGAGCGATGGGGTGAGAGAACCAGTGGTGGGTCCTAAGAGAAGGGAGGGAAATGCCTAGACCGTGAATACTCCTCCTTGCCCCCACCCTCCTGCCTCTCAGATCAGCTCTGTCTCCAAGCTTGAAAACCCCAGGCCATAAGGCAGTCTCGAGTCTGAGACCTTGGGCAGTTCCCTTGCACCCTGTAGGGGAAAGTAGAAATTATATATCATGTCCCCAAAGCCTGCCTGGCTCTGGCATGCCCTTGCTCTCTACCCTCCCAGGCATCTTTGTCATCGGGTTCAGCTACCCCGTGGTCCCCAAGGGCAAGGCCCGGATCCGGGTCCAGATCTCAGCAGTGCACAGCGAGGAGGACATTGACCGCTGTGTGGAGGCCTTCGTGGAAGTAGGACGGCTGCACGGGGCACTGTCCTGAGTGCTGGGTGGGGACTAACAAAGCCAGGGTCCACTTACCACCACAGGGATTAAGGAGGTCTTTGATCAGCTGAGACCAGAGACTCTAAGCCCTGAGCCAAAGTCCTAGGGCCAGGCTGGGATGTGGCCTGTTCACGTGGCTGTGGGAGTATGAAACAACAACATGAAAATTGGCCATGACGCTTTGGTCTGCTTTATTCTCTCTGAGCAGGCCAGTCCTGTGGTGGGTGGAAGAGTCAGGCAGGAGCCCGTGATCTGAGGGCAGGCTCCTGAGGACTGTGGATCTCAGAGCTGACTGCCCCTAAATTAAGATGGGAAGCCCAGGCTCGGTGGCTCGGCCTGTAATCCCGCGCCTTTGGGAGGCTGAGGTGAGTGGATTGCCTGAGCCCGCGGGTTCGAGACCCGCCTGGGCAGCGAGACCTCATCTATACAATAAATAATAAAAAAAAATCAGCCGGGTGTGGTAGCTCGTGCCTGTAATTCCGGCTACTCGGAAGGCTGAGGCGGAAGGATCGCCG